AATATATCATTTGTACAATTATTCCGTGAGTTGTAGCGATGATATGATAAAGTGTACTTCAATGATGAAAAAAGGTGTTTGATGCTAATTTGGATACGTTAAGCAACAGTTGAAATACTAAAATATTACCCAATTTGTATAATAATACTGTACATATCTTAAATAAAATTATAATTGTAGAATAACAAGAGCAAAACTGTAACTGTGGGATAACTAGGACAAAATTTGTAACTAATTTTGTAGGATTGAACAAAATTGAACAAATTTTTAATTATTAAACTCGAACGAAACTTATGATTCAAATTCTAATTGCCTAAAAGCACTGATCCGTGATCAAACGTTGCTGAATACTGAATTTTGCAACGATATCCAGCAGATATTCCAGAAACGAAAATGTAAGTATTAACTTGTTAAGTAAATGGCTATCATTATCCACTATCGACAGCCTAATCTTACAATTAACATGCCATTAACATGCTACGCACTTCTCAATTACACGGTCTGATTCCGACTTTACTGAAACATTAATTTGTGTTTCTTTATTCTAATAATATTCTATATTCTACTCTATTCTATTAATATTCTAATAATAATATTTACCGGTACTACATAAGTATTATACCGAAATACGGCTTTAGTGATGACGTCGCTTTAACGACGCCGTACCGGTATTCGAAGCATTTAACTTCCATTGTGATAGGAATAATTACTTCAAAATACCGATATTTTTTTGTCGATTCGATCTCTGCTTTAAAGCGCGCGAACTCGCCTCGTCGCTTCGGCCTTTCATCGATCCATCCGACAATTTCGCCGATCGGCGAGAATCTGCAGATTTCTGAGCGAACATATGCATGTATTTAGATCGGAACTACTTTTCTCTCTGTCGATTTTTTTTGGGACTTTTTTCTGTCTGTCGAAGTTGTTTCGATGCCTCGGTGAATCGAGTTGAGTCGCGAATCGGATGACAATGGGGACAACACCGCGTTCACAACCTTACGAGATGAAACGGTAATATATCTGAGGCTTTTCGCCGCGGATTCCGTTCTTTTTAAACTTTGCTCCATGATTCATGGACCCGTCCTTTGTTCCGCTATTCCCTCTAATAAACTATGTCGCTCGAATCCGA